GGCTGTGTGGAGGGGGGGGGGGGGGGGTTGGCCGAGGGGGAGCGATCGCTGCTCGGGAACTGTCTGGGTATCAGTCGGCGGGTGGTGAGCAATTGCATTGTGCATCACTTGCTTTGTATATTATTATTATTGTTATATTGTTGTTATTATAATTACTGTTTTACTTTATTTCAATTATTAAACTGTTTTTATCTCAACCCAGGAATGTTTCTCACTCTTACTCCTCCAATTCTCTCCCCCATCCCACCGGGGTAGGGGGAGTGAGCAAGCGGCTGCGTGGTGCTTAGCTGCTGGCTGGGGCTAAACCACGACACTACCTTAACTTCATTATTTCTGTCTACCTCGTCTTTCCCTTCTAACAGTTTTGACTTCTGCCCTATACCAGGCCAGTGATCAGAGCCTCTCTATCTGCAGCCTCCAGCCCACATTCTTTCACTAAGGTTGGGGTCCATCTTGCCTTATTTTATACTTGGGCCTCTTGTCAGCAGTCTCCTTAGTCTATGTGGAAGAAATAGATACCTCTACAGATCTGAGCTGTTTTAACTGTGTGCCTCTGGATCAAGAACAAAGCCATCCAGACTGCCTTTCCAGGCAGGAGACAAACTTGGATGTTGAAGTCTGCTCTGTGAACATTTGATTTCAGTCTGGCAAATCCCATCCTTATGTTACCTAGTTCAGCTGAGCTGTAAAATGTCAAGAGGCCAGGAGGTGACTGAGTCACCCACAAGGTCTGCTCTCTGTTTCAGCATTTAATATACCTTAGTCTCCTGCAGTTTCACAGTCCTGTCTGAACAAATATACTCTTCCTCCAAGTGTATTGATGGTCCAAATAATCTGTCTCCTTCCTACCTTCTTCCCCCTTAGAGAATTTAATATTGTGCTGCTTAGTCTTGTCACGTCAGCGTTGCGTTGCCCTCAGCTTTGTGTAGGTACACAGAAATTTTTTGGCAAGGTCACTGTTAGATCTTACATAATCTCTTCTGCATAAATCCAAGTGAGAGCAATAATTGATGCTTCAAAGGAAAACCCTGCTTTCCTCTGCCCTTCTTCTGCTCCTACACTGACTGTATCTTGGCAAGTTTGCCATTCTGTTGAAAGTGATGATGGTGGTGATGATCACATAGCCGTCCTCCACCCTGTGGAAACTGATACCTGTCGCAAAGCATGATATTTTGACTTGGCTGCTATGCCCATCAGCTTTTATGCTGTACAATTTAATGCATTCATTTAGTCAACGGCTTCTCTGTCAGCTCTTTATCCTTTCCAATTGGGAGGCAGTTTTTCATTGTACTGTACCTACTCAAAGGCACAGAGAAAAGGAGCAGGCACAAAATTTTCAGATGCTTCAAACCAAAATCATAGAAGGTAAATCTAGTATCTCTTTTGACAGTATAAACCATATAAAAATATATCTTATTTGGCTCTTCTCATATAAGTGGATTGTAAAATGTATTGTCTGTACAATATGAAATTGAACAAAAGCCTATGTTCTTTTCATGGAGAAAATTTTTTCACTTTTTCCAAAAGAAAAAAAACAAATACTGATGTAATTTTATGGCAATAGGAATATTCCATCATGTGTCTGAAGACACTCACTGGTCACCATTTCTCAGTACAAGTATTCACTACATCAGAAGGAATTATCCTCAGCCTTGGGAAGAGGTAGGAAAATTTCTTTAACTTTTGACTTTGTTTCTTACTGTTCTCTTCTCCTTCACTTGTTGCCATTTCATCCTTTGGGAAGTGTAGAAAAAATACACATTTTTTAAAATAAAGTCTCTGCTGATATAGGAAAATTTGAAGTCCTATTTTCATCGTTACCAGTCAAAAAAGTTATGGTATCCATATCAGTTATCTCCAATGTGGTCTGGTGGTTATGATATATTTCATAGGTCCAAACTTTCAAATGTGATTGGTGGTCTTGCATTATTATCAGTTCTGGTTGAGTGTTTGCCACTTGAAAACCAGGAGTCTTTTAGAATTCTCACTTGTGAAATCTTGGACTTAGTCCTGATTCACTCTTGTTTATGGTATATGAGCTACATAGGGGGAGAGGAAAACCAAATTGTCAAACTGAGAATGATTTTAAAGGTCATATTGTTTTCTTTTCCTTACTGGACAATTTGCCATTCTGTCTGTGCTCAGGAGAGTCATACAGGTGGAGCAACATTTTGAGAGCTGCAGTCTTTAAAACCTAAACAAGCCTGCTTGCCTTTTGACTGGCCACTGGTGATACTGATCTTGTGAACTGTTGGCCCTTGGGAAGCATAAATTGGTCAAAAACTATGCGTCAATTACAGATTTTTAAAAGACCTCTGGAACTTACAGTGATTCAATGCAGAGAAGTCTTTCCTGGAGAAATGAAATTTCTGTTGCTGATAAATTTATTCCAAATAACTTTTCTGTTTGTGGGAATGAGTAGTTTCATACCTGGGCTTTAATCAGGCACTTTTACAGTGAACAGCGCTTGCACAGGAATGTCTTTCTCTCCTCTGTGTATCTGCACAACACCCATGGTGGCAGAGGGGGTTCACTCGTTGGAAGTGGAAGTGCATGTCCTCAGTCCAGAAAAACACTTTAGTACACATCTAACTTGAAGTACACAAGGTGTCCTGACATCAACCATGCAATTCTATGGCCTTGGGCTGCATAAGTGCTTAAAGCTTCTCAAGTTGCAAAAAGTGACTCCAGCATCAAGGAATGAGTGGTCAACACTTTGTCATGCTAAGTTCTTGGATTGTAAGAGTTTCTCACCTATATCCTTGTATAATGCACTAACGTAAAATGCTCATCCATTCTTAAAGACAGGAGTAAAATTACTGACATTACTACAAGTGGATTGTTGTTGTGTAGGATACAGAGAAGCTGGTGGCTTTCCTGTTCGGAATTGCCTCACATATGGTGGCAGATGTTAGCTGGCATAGCCTGGGCATCGACCAAGGATTTCTAAAGGCCATGGGAGAAGTAAGCCTGTATTATTATATTTATTGTTATAACTGGATTTATTGGAATTGGTAGCTTAGCTTTGGACTCTGGTGGGGAGGGAAGAGAAAATCTGGAGCCCTGTTTCAGGAAGATTTTCAGAGACATGAAATGTCACAAACTCCATTAGAAGGAAGTTGGTCAGGTTTGGGACCTGTAAACTTCAGGGCTGCTTGGAAAATTTGTTTCTGTTCATATGTTTGTATGGAAGGATGACTAAAATAAACAGACGTTCTCTTGTTTTTCTCCAGATTGATTTTCATGGTTCGTACTCAGAAGCTCACAATGTTGGCGATTTTGGTAATGTTTCTGTTTGCTGATCATAGATCCTTCTATTGGAATAACTAGTCCCCTTCAAATCCACAGTGGGGGATTCTGGCTCTCACCCTGTGCAATGCAGGAGCCAAGAATGAGTCATATGGACATTGCATTCTCACTCTTCTCCCGTAGCTTGCAAAGCCCTGCTATCCCTGTCCTCATGCTCCATGTTTCAGGAGATGTGATAGGGCATATGGACACTTGTATTAAAGCCAAAACACAGCCTGAAGAATGCTAATGTTTAAATGGAGTCACTATTTCAATTTTTTTTTATTATTCTAATTCTTTTTTATTATTCTTTTTTACATTATTCTTATTCTCTGGAAGTATAAAGTATGCAGCATACTTTCAGGTGAAGCGTTTATGTATATGTATTCTAAATATACAGCTGGAGGATCTATATTTATATATCTATATTTATATATATCT